GCAGTTTCGACCTCGTATCGGTCTTATCAACACTGTCAGTGACAGTCGAACCGCGACAGTGCAGGATGGGAGCTTGACACGCTAATCACTCGGCTACACTGCCACGAGCGCCTTTTGGGTCACAGGGAAAATGTGAATTTTCAAGGAAGGCCATGCCTTTTTTTCCCCATATCATATTCTTTAGCCTAGTAAAATAATCATCAAGAGTTGGTAACCCCGCTTATTAATCATTTATGTGATCATGATAGAGGCTGACTTAGTATTGCTGGAATTGTACAGAGTTTAAAACGTCCATGAGGATAGATCGTCTGAATGAACGAAGAAATTAGTTATGTGCTGCTTTGAGACAACTAAACTCTGAGCATACCTGTCCACGGCCGAGACACAACGATCAAAATGTCTTCAACGTATACAAGCAGAGCCAGTATATCGATTGTTGCTCAAGTGTCAGTGGCAGTGGCTCTATATGGCACCCTCTCATAGAGCGCTGTAAAAGGGAAAAAAGGAATTAAATGAATAAGCTAACTGGAAGATTTGTCATAATTAGCTCGAGGCATATCTCTTATGGATCTGAACTTATGCCAAAATAAGGTCAGCGAACCTGGCATATTAATGCAGACATCTAGCCACCCAATAAAAGTTCACCTGACATGCGAGCTATGGTCCTCCCTTGAAGTACTCGATCAAAGGATACAACCATGCTGGTCTTAGAATACTGGCCGAGCTTTAGAATCGTATGTACTTATTTAGCGGTCCAACTTTTCAAAATTGTCTGCGGTCGCTTGTGGTGTCAAAAAAATATGGCGGAATTGACAGGTATTCAGGTTGAATTTACTTGAACAGCCAATAGAGAGGGGGGCCAACGCTTAGGTTCTGCTAAGCCTGCCGAACTTGTCAAAATCGAGCCAACACTAAACGACACAGAGGCCCAGCTGTAATTAAGACGGTTAAGTCATAGACTGGCATTTATTTTACCTCATTACGAACAACGAAACGTGGAACTGCCTTTCCTATTCTGGAAATGGACAAAGGCAATGACGGAGTATTGATTATTCCTTAGGTTGAAATACTTCCCGTCTAAATAGGTGGCTCACTTATCAGGTCCTTGGGGTTGTGACGACTTTCAACCGTTGGTCTGAGTGTGCTCTTTCCTCGGATTCCCGACCATCTTCGTCTTACCCCACTATCAGCCATGCGCGCTGTTGACCTATAAATGTCCATTTCAGCCGGAGCAAGTAGTCCCAGCGTTGTGAGAGAGCGTTCTCCACCTGCTTCCGTAACTCGATCCTTGCAGTCCGGTGGGCTCTCCATTGGTTTCCTGTCTTCCATCACTAATTGCCGTATCATTAAATATTGGGCATCAAAATAAGAGGATATTTGTAATCTATGACCCGCCAAATAGATGAGCAAATTGACTACAGACAGGATACGCATAAAAAATATCCGCGCCTACTACGACGATTCTACCGGCACTGAGGTGAAGGAGACCGAGTCTATGCTGTACTACAAGACACAAACTTTTTATTGTAAAGTGGAAATTGAAATACCAACATGCAGTGCTGATCGCGACTGGACTATCGGCCTTGTTCAGGCATGTGATTATATGTATCTAGCTAATGATTACGATGGAATTGGAAATTCACTCTGGGAATTTCATCCACTGAAGAGTGGCCTACGCACACTGATTAACGATAGCGATGGCCGACAATATCCGTTTTACAGCGTCAACCAAAGCTTGTATAACATTAAAAAGGGATCTGTTCGCAAGCTTAATTTGAATCTTCAAATAAAAGATTACTTTCATCCATCCGTTGTTTGGGAATTGCCATATTCAGGCGGCGTGCGACTAACCAAAATTAACCGACAGCAAAAATTTTTAATCTGGTTGGTAGCAATTAAGTACGGAAAAAAACCATCTGGTCGTGACGAAATCACTGTGCTCAAACAAATTCGATGGGAGTACGATCTACATATGGTTGTGGATCCCTTCATGCAGCTGGGCAAGAGAGTTCGCAAAATCTACGATACCCAGGATGGCGGAATATTACTTATGGATCCAGACAAATGCACTAAACTGCCAAGAGCTGCCACTTTTCCACCACACTGCAATGCAGCTCAGTCTTTGATTTGGTACCCTAGGGATGCACATAAACATGCCCGCATTCTAGTTCCTCCGAAGCAAATCATTGTCTCCTGGGAAGAGTGGGTGCGCGATATGCTTGGACCAAGTGCTCGAGTAAAGAAGCCCAATGAGGTCTCTGAAATAGGAGACACAATGATAGAATAATGGAAGCTATCTATCTTCAAGAGCTGGTCAGCGCCAATTTAATCTCATTTTCTCTGCTGGCCACTCATGCTTACGATCATGCTGTAAAAGATGTCCAGCCTGTAAACCACATTCTTTCAATGTTAAAGAAAAAATTCGCCCTATTCTTACTAGCCGGCCTTCCGAATGCATCCTTACACTGTCATCTTCGAGGACACCGGCATCCAATCTACCAACTGTGAGCTCTGTCTTGTTATATAATCTCAATTACCCAACCTTATCTGTATTCCTTCCTCAATAAGCCAGATAGCAATGCCTTTTCCCCTAAGCCTTTATCCCGTCATTCTTGCTACTCCAAATGCTTTTGGTGATGCGTATATAAAGTATACGAGCAGTCTTTCAGTGCAGAAATGCATCTTGACATAGATCTTACTTATATC